TCACTATAGTTCGCTAAAGTTTGCCTATAGTTTAGATTTATTTAATTTTAAAACTAAAGTGGCCAGAAAATTTATCTTCTTCTTGGCCTATATTTCAAGAGAGGTCGCCATAGTTTGACCATAGTTTAGATTTATTTAATTTTTAAACTTTAATGGCCAGAAAATTTAACTTCTTCGTGGTCTTCTTCTTTAACTTTTTTCTTTGTTCAAGAGAGGTCGCCATAGTTCGCCATAGTTTAGATTTATTTAATTTTAAAACTGAAATGGCCAGAAAATTTTACTTCTTCTTGGTCTTCTTCTTTAACTTTCTTCTTGGTTCAAGAGAGGTCGCCATATTTTAGAGTTATTTAATTTTCAAATTTGAATGGCTAGAAAATTTGATTTGACTCTTCCCGTAGTTTAACCTTCGCTTGACAAGATGCCCACCCAGGGTGGGCCAGACAAATTGAAATTGCCATATCTTCTAAAGTTTTGCCTTAATTGAATCGCGATTTTAAGTCACTGAACAAAATCTTAAGAACTTTCAAAAAATGTAAAAACAAATTTTTTAAAAAAATTTCTTCTTGATTATTTATAACTTTTATAAATGTATGTACGGAGATAACCGGGATGATTCAGATATTTTTTTAATTCTATTTTACAAAAAGACTTGAAATCATGCAGACTTTTCACTGTGAGTGTTTTATGATGTCAAATAATAGATATAAAAAATATTATATTGTATTTTTCATTTGTTTAAACAATTTATTGTTATTATTTATTAACTTTCTTTGTTCTGCACCTAGAAAGATGCAGTTTTTTTCTAATTTTGCAATTTATCAAGCGGAATATAATAAAAGATAGATTTGATGTATAATTATTAATTCAACAATTGTTTAAACAATTATTGTTATTATTTACTAACTTTTTTTGTTCTGCACCTAGAAAGATGCAGTTTTTTTCTAATTTTGCAATTTATCAAGCCGAATATAATAAAAGATAGATTTGATGTAAAATTATTAATTCAACAATTGTTTAAATAAGTTATTGTTGTTATTTACTAACTTTTTTTGTACGGCACCTGGGAAGTTGCCGTTTTTTCTAATTTTGCAACTCATGAAGCCGAATATAATAAAAGATAGATTTGATGTAAAATTGTAAATTCAACAATAGTTTAAACAATTGTTAAATTAGTAAATTTATGTCAAATCTGTCTGGCTATATTATATTCGGTTTGATAAATTGCAAAATTAGGAAAAAACTGCATCTTTCTAGGTACACTACAAGAAAGTTAATAAATAACAACAATAAATTGTTTAAACAATCGTTTGAATACTAAATTCATATAAAATCTTCATGTTTATTATGTTGAGCTTGTTAAGTTGCAAAATTAGAAAAAAATTGCAATTTTCTTGGAACATTATAAAGAAAGTTAATAAATAGCAACAATTATTTGTTTAAACAATTGGTTAAATAGTAAATTCATATAAAATCTTTGTGTTAATATGTTGTGCTTGTTAAGTTGCAAAATTAGAAAAAAATTGCAATTTTCTAGGAATATTATGAAGAATGTTAATAAATAGCAACAATTATTTGTTTAAACAATTTATAATAATAGTTGTTGCAAATTGAATTATATATTTTATTTTATTTATAACCTTTGAATTAATAACTACGAAGAAAAGGTAACAAATTTATAAAATTCTTCTACTGTCGTATGTATATTTGAAAAAGTTATAAATTATTAATAATAAATTGTTTAAACAAATAAAAAATCAACAAAACATTAATAAAATATATTATTTGGTAACATATAACAATTTTGGAAAAAAACTGAATGATTTTAAGTTTTTATTGCAATATACAAAAAAGAAAACATTTGGCCCACCCTGGGTGGGATCTTGTCAACCGTGTATATAAAAAGTATCCAGTCCGGCGAAGGTTAAGAGTGGTCGCTATAGTTTGCCCATAGTTTAAATTCATTTAATTTTTAAACTTGAATGGCCAGAAAATTTAACTTCTTCTTGGTCTTCTTCTTCATCTTTCTTCTTGGTTCAAGAGAGGACGCCATAGTTCGCCATAGTTTAGATTTATGTAATTTTAAAACTGAAATGGCCAGAAAATTTAATTTCTTCTTGGCCCATAGTTTAAGAGAGGTCGCTATTGTTCGCCATAGTTTGCCCATAATTTAGATTTTTTTAATTTTAAAACTGAAATGGCCAGAAAATTTAACTTCTTTTTGGCCCATAGTTCAAGAGAGGTCGCTGTAGTTCGCCAAAGTTTGACCATAGTTTAGATTTATTTAATTTTTAAACTTTAATGGACAGAAAATTTAACTTCTTCTTGGTCTTCTTCTTTAACTGTCTTCTTGGTTCAAGAGAGGTCGCCATAGTTTAGAGTTATTTAATTTTCAAATTTAAATGGCTAGAAAATTTGATTTGACTCTTCGCGTAGTTTAAGAGTGGTCGCTATAGTTTGCCCATAGTTTAAATTCATTTTATTTTAACTATAATTATCTTGGTATTCATTCATTCATTCCGTCCGGACCCTAGCTGGGTTTTCGGTGACAGAGAAAAGAACAAGTTATGGAGAGAGAAAGATATATCTTTATTTTGCAAATGAGGGTTCGCTTGACCTGCAATCTTTTAAAGAGGATTAATTAATAACTCTGAAGACCCAGGTAATAGTTTCTTTCTCCCTTTATCACGTGAAAAAACTATAAAGAAAGTCTAAAACTGAATAGGTAACGCATACCTTTCTTTCTTACACCAAGGAATATAACATAAGTACTTCTTCGTTTAACATTGCGTTTCTCTATCTAGTCAATTCAAAATGGCATAAGAATATCTTCGTCTTAAATCTTAATCTTTTTCCTTTTTGTTTTGAAAATAAAAATAAATATATATCTATATATATATATATGCATACCTGTATTAGAGTCCCTGAAATTTGTAATAAAAAAATTTAAAAATTATTACCTAGGTTCTCAGAGTTAATCCTTATCAACAAAGGTTCTATTGTCGAAGGGTATTTTTCGATGTAATAAATGGGAGAAAAGAAATTATTACCTGGGTCCTCAGAGTTAGTTCTCATTGATTATTTAACAAAGGTTCTATTGTCCAAGGGTTGGTTTTTTGTGGTAATTAATCCGGGGTTTTAATACAAGTGTATATGAGAGATTCTTTATCAATCGCCCCAGCCCATAAAGTCAATGTTCTGGGATTGGCTTCATACTTTGGTAAATTGTTGTCCTATATGATAGTAATAAATCCCTAAAATATAAACTCATTAAAAAAATATTTGTAGAAAGTAGAGGGGGTTGAAGTTTTGACGTTATGGGTAACATTGTCATTTTCAAATCCGTATAACTATGACAAAAGTTAATGGATTTTAATTTATATATACGAAAAATGTATACGAAAATTAAAAAAAATATTTTTTGACCCCTTTTTTCCAAATTCAACCCTTATTTTTCGATTTTTACCCCTTCGGGTATTTTTTTTTATTTTATTTTCATTGGAAAGCTGAGGTTTTTTCCTATGAGCTATGTAAATATGAAAGTGGGACAACAATAATTTTGTGAGAAACAGAATATTAAAGTAGACGGTGCCGATATATCTTTATTTTGGAAATGAGGGTTCGCTTGACCTGCAATCTGTTTTGTTTATAGAGGGAGAAAGAGAGAAAGAGAAAGAGAGATGAAATTTAAACTGACAAATTTCTGTCAGGTAAATCATTTCTCTAAAAGTTGTCAATGAGTAATTAAAAACTTTCGTACATTATATTTGCCTTTTTGATTTTGATTTTCTAAACTACTAAAAAAAAATATTTCAGTGCATTTTTTTTTATTTTTTTCTTTGATGTCAATTATATTTTGGATTTTATAGCATTTGTACTAAAGATTTATGCATTTTGGATATTAAATGACTTTAGTATTGAAGATATTTTGATTTTTTTAAAATAATATTAACATTGAAGAATTTTGGATTTTGGATATTGAATTGGATTTTGGATATTGAATTTTGGATATTAGAAAATATTTTGAATATTGATATTACATTTTAGATACTGAATTTTGGATATTGGATTATGGATATTGAATTTTGGATTTTTGATATTGGATTTTGGATATTGAATTTTTGATTTTGGATATTCAATTTTTGATTTTGGAAATATAATTTGCATTTTTTTGCATTTGTACTAAAGATTTGTGTATTTTGATATTCGATAACTTTAGTATTAAAGATGTTTGGATTTTGAAAATTGGACAATATTTTGATTTTGGATATTGGAATTTGAAATTTTGAATAATAAAATTAGATAAAATAAAATTCGATGAATTCTACAATGGCCAACATAAAAGGGTATGTTGTTTTAAGTAATAAGGATTTAAAAATTATTGAAAATAGAAATGAATTGTTAAATGACATGCATATGTATAAATTTGAAGATTTATTGAAAAAAGATTCAAATTCTTTTTTTAATATGCAAAGTACTTTGTATTTACAAATGCTTGATTTAATTGTTCCAATTAAAGAAGGCGATAAACATATTCAAATACTTTTTAGCGGTAGTATCAATTCAGGTCATTGGATTTGTGTCTATTACGATGGAGTAAGGCTTTATGTTTTTGATAGCCTTAATGCAGGTTGTTTAAATGTGCATCAATTAGATTATTTAATTAGATTGTTTCCTTTTAAACCAACAGTAGTTTTTGTAGCTGTTGATCAACAACCGTTTGGAAGTGTTGAGTGTGGAGTATATGCAATAGCATTTGCAACCTCTGTATTTTTTAATGTAATGCCAAGCAGCGTGAATTATAAAACTGATAATGATATAATGAGAAAGCATTTAAAATCAATGTTTTAAAATAATAGGCTAAATCATTTCCTGGCAGATAAAGTGTCTAAAATGAGGAATTCGATAGTAGAAAATGATTGGAATAGTCTTTTCATTAATCGATCTGACGAACTTAAAAATGGTAAACAAAATCCTTTTTATGTTTTAACAACCCTTTTCAGAGATAATGTCGAAAGCGTTATGTCATCTAATGATTTCGAAATAAAGCATTCTCTTAATAATGAAAGTGAAATAAAAAGACTTTGTGCAACTAATAAAAATGTTAAAAAAGCTTTAACACTACAATATTCAGAAATGAACCAATCCCTAAATAAAGAAAACGATAAAAAGAGACTTCTAGCAATAAAAGAAAAAGAAAGAAAACAGAAAGCAAGGCGCGAAGTCACGAATGAAAAGAAAATAAGTGGACAAGAGAAGGATAGACTGAGAAAACGTATGCGTAATGAAACAGAAACAGAAATACAAAAGATAGAGCGTCAAAAAAAAAATTTGACATGCAAAAAAAAGAAATTATCTACAGAATCTGAGAATGAAAAAAAAATACGCAAAGAAAATAATTTGGCATGTAAGAGGGCAAAATTATTTATGGAAAGTGAAGATGAAAAGAAGAAACGCAATGAAAATAATTTGGCATGTAAGAGGGCAAAATTATTTATGGAAAGTGAAGATGAAATGAAGAAACGCAATGAAAATAATTTAGCATGTAAGAAGGCAAAATTATCTATTGAAAGTGAAGATGAAAAGAAAAAACGCAATGAAAAGAATTTGGCATGTCAGAAGGTACAATTATCTATGGAAAGTGAAGATGAAAAGAAGAAACGCAAAGAAAAGAATTTGGCATGTAAAAAGGATAATCGGAATAAAAAAAGTGCACGAGTTGCAATTATGTCTTTTGAAGATTTTGATGAAAGTGAAGTTCTACAGAATTATTTAGGTTTGATGAATGTAAAATGTAAGTTTTGTAGTGAGTTACATTTTTTGTGTGAAAGGCCGCCAAATAAATTATTTCGAAGTTGCTGTCATAAGGGTAAAGTAAAATTAAAAGATTTAAATCTTTATCCCCTTTATTTAAAAAGTTTGTTACTAGATTCAAGTGTTGAAGGAAAAAATTATAAAGAAAATATTCGTCGTTATAATAATTCGTTTGCTTTTGCTAGCATGGGAGCTAAATTAGAAATTCCTAAAGGATATGGTCCTTATGTTTTTCGTGTTCACGGACAAGTATATCATAATACATATGCTCTTCATCCTGATGATAATGAAAACCGAAAATATGGACAGTTGTACATTCTTGATACCAATGATGCAGTGCTTGAACGATTAAAAAATAAATGTAATGAGAAATGTTTATCATCAATAATGGAAGAAATAGATAAATTATTAAGAGAAATTAATCCTTATGCTAAAGCATTTAAAATGATGAGAGAGGTAGAAATAGTAGAAGAATCACTAGCAAAATCTAAAAATAAACCTATAAGAAATATTGAAATGTGGATTAAACGCGACAGATCATTGAATCAAAGTAAATTTAATATTCCATCTTGTAGTGAAGTAGCAGTTGTATTTGTTAGCGAAGATGGTGAACCTCCTATGGAACGTGATATATGTATACACCCAAAAGATTCAAAGAGTGTTCCAATTTCTAGTCTTAGTGAAAATGTTGATCCCATGACATATCCTGTAATGTTTCCTTATGGTGATCCTGGATGGACTGTCAACCTTAAGCATACTGAAGGTATTCGTAGTGTAACACCTTTACAATTTTATATGTATCGCCTTTCATATAGAGGATCTTTCAATCCATGTTTAAAATTAGGAAAATTAACTCAGCAATACGTAGTTGATGTCTGGTCGAAAGTAGAAGGTGAACGTTTAAAAAACATTCGTTTACAACAAAGAAAACTTCAAGCAGAATTGTATTGTGGATTAATGGATTATATTCACAATAAAGCAAAAGACGAAAATGTTCAACCTGGAAAAATAATTATTTTGCCATCAACGTTTATTGGAGGACCACGTTGTTATCAACAATGTTTTATGGATGCTATGCGATTAGTTCAAGAATTTGGAAAACCAGATTTATTTATAACAATGACATGTAATCCAAAGTGGCGTGAAATTACAGAAAATTTGTTGGATGTTGAAACTGCGTCTGATCGCCCAGATCTTGTAGCTAGAATTTTTCAACAAAAAGTGAAAGAGTTAATGAAAGAAATAAAAGACAAAGAAATTTTTGGCCCAATTATTGCATTTGTATATGTTATAGAATTTCAAAAACGTGGATTGCCACATGTGCATATAATTATATTTTTACGTACACCAATTCGAGATGCAGAAACCTTAGATAAAATGATATGTGCGGAAATACCAGACGAAACGAAGAATCCGGAACTTTTTAATATTGTAAAGCAATTTCAAGTTCATGGGCCATGTGGTAAACAAAACATGAGTTCTCCTTGTATGGATCCTGAAAAGAAAGTTTGTACAAAACAGTATCCGAAGCCTTTATGTTCTGAAACAACTTATGGTTCGAAGAATTATCCGGAACTCAGGCGAAGAAATGATGGAAAAAAAATTATTTATTATAAACAAGATGGGTCAATTAAATGTGTTGCTGACAATTCGATGATTGTACCATATAATCTTTATTTAAGTAAAACATTTAAAGGTCATATTTGTGTTATACCATGTGGTAGTACGGATGGTATGAAATATTTATTCAAATATATGCATAAAGGTCATGACTCTGCAATAATAGGTTATAAGGATGATAATCAGGAAATGGAATATGATGAAATTGAACATTATTTAAATACACGTTATGTATGTCCACCAGAAGCAATGCATAGATTATGCGAATTTAATATGCATGAACAATCACATAAAACGTATAGATTAGCTGTACATCTGCCTAATCAACAATCAATATGTTTTAAAGAAGGATTGGAAGAAGAAGCAGTCCATAAATTTAAAAATACTACATTAACAGCATGGTTAAAATTAAATGAAGAAAATCCTGAGGCACGGAAGTATTTGTACACAGAAATACCACATAAGTATGTTTTTGTTGAATCATCAAAAACTTGGAAAATAAGGGAACGAATTACAAAACCTATAATTTGCCGCATGTATTTCGTAAGTCCGAAAGATATTGAAAGATATTTTTTTAAAATCTTACTGCTTTATGTACGTGGTGCTAAATCGTTTGATGATGTAAGAACATATGAAGGAATTACATATAATACTTTTACAGAAGCAGCGCGTGCAAGAAATTTGATGGTAGATGATAGTGAATGGGATAATTGTTTGACTGAAGCTGTAAGCATAAAATTTCCTAAAGAACTTTGTCGTCTATTTGCATATATATGTGTGTTTGAATTGCCTATGAATGCACTTGATTTATGGAATAAGTACAAAGAACACATGATTTTTTATAATAATGTACCCGAAGAAGTAGCACTTCAACAAGCATTAATATTAATTAATGAAGTGCTTAATTTTCATGGATTTGCTTTAAATCAATTTGGTTTGCCTAATATTGTTCAAAAAATTCTCGAAGATTATACTTTTGTCGATAAAGAAGCTAATGCATTAGCATTAAAATTGCTGAAAAAAGAAGCTGAAATACTCATTGAAAGTTTGAATAATGAACAGCGCAAAATTTTTGATGATGTCATGGCTGCAGTACATAATGATAATTGCAAAAATAGGTACTTTTTCCTTTCTGCACCTGGTGGCTGTGGTAAAAGCTATTTAGAAAACACAATTATTACTGCACTTGAAAGTGAAGAATTGGTAGTTGTAGCAGTTGCATGGACTGGTCTAGCAGCTAATCTTTTAAGAGGTGGACGAACTTCACATTTAATGTTTAAATTTCCTATACCAATCAATGAAAATTCAACATGCAATATCAGTGGAATGTCAAAACACGCTGAACTGTTAAGAAGTGCTAAAATCATTATTTGGGATGAAATTACAATGGCACCTAAATTTGCTTTACAAGCAATGGAGTCTATGCTGCGAGATATTACACAATGTAATAAACCATTTGGAGGTAAAGTTATTTTGCTTTCAGGAGATTTTCGACAAACATTGCCAATTGTTCCACATGGTAGTCGCACACATATTGTTGAAGTATGTGTGAAAAATAATAGATTGTGGGATCTTTTTGAAAGTAGGTCCTTATATGTTAACGTTAGATTACAGAATAATGATGTAGAGTTTTCAAATTGGCTATTAAATGTTGGTGATGGTAAACCTCAATGTATGATTGAAAGAGAAAACAGTGTTTTAGAAATACCACAGGATTTGATTTCTAATGGGAATTTAAATGATGAAATTTATGGATCGTCAATAAATAAACATAATGAATCTGTTCATTCAGCTTGCATTCTTTCATTAACTAATTCTGAGGTATTAGATTTGAATGAACGTATTTTGTTAAAATTAGAAGGACAAGAAATAATTTATTATAGTGTTGATTCACATGTCGATGATGATCGAAAAGATATAAATAATATTGTTCCAATAGAATTTTTAAATAGTCTAACACCAGACGGTTTGCCTCCTCATAAATTATCTTTCAAGGTAGGATGTATAATTATGCTTTTAAGAAATATGAATTTGGTTCAAGGATTATGTAATGGGACTCGATTAGTTGTAAAATCATTATTGAGAAACGTAATTTCTGCAGAAATAATTACTGGAAAATCTAAAGGAGAAATAGTTTTTATTCCACGCATTGATTTATCTCCTTCACCAGACACATATCCATTTAAAATGATAAGAAGACAATTTCCAGTTAGACTCGCTTATGCCATGACTATTAATAAATCTCAAGGACAATCTTTTGATAAAGTAGGAATATATTTACCAATTTCAGCATTTGGTCATGGTCAAATTTATGTTGGTTGTTCTCGAGTTAAATCTAAGGAACATTTAAAAATCCTTGCTCTTCATTCTGCTGTGTACAGAAGTGTAGAATTTCCTGAAAAGTCATTTGTGAAGAATATTGTTTATCACGAAATACTTTGATGTTATGTAGCTTTTATTTATTTCACATTTAATAATTATTTAAAAATGATTGTGGTTACTTAATTTTAAAATTTCTGCTGTAATGTTTGGGTCATGTAAATGCAGTTCTTAAAACATGCACACGAAATGTGCAGTCTATGATAGGAATATAAGAATGATATTCAGAAATAAATAGCAATTGATTTTCGCTATATTTTTTACCAATAATAAACAGTAAATAGTTTCAAATTTTCTCCAACATATTAGTTTCGATATTGTAAATTTTGGAAAAGTTGTATTGGATTTTTAATCAGCGATCCGAAAAACCCACGAGTTGCGAGTTTTAAGAATATCTAATCATTTTTACTAAATTAGTCTGCCAAAATATATCCGTCATTTCGAATTTTCAATTAGTTTTTAATTTAATTTTAATTTTTTAAAACCTACTTTAAAAGTCGTGTTTACTTTTTGATCTATGACCTAATTTGATGATCATGTTCGCTTATTGACGTATGACCATGGCTCAATTGAAGGTCATATTCGCAAATTTACCTATAACCTAGACCTAATTTTAAGGTTATATTCTTGATTCCTGTTAATAAATCGATGATTTTAAATTGACTGGACATCTATGAAATAATCAAGTTTCACTTCATTCAGCTTATTCGTGTTTGAGTGATGCGCGAACAAAGGTTTGCATGCATTAGACAGTCAGTCAATAACTTTTTTAGAGTTTAGGATTCTTAATGTGTAAGAACGAAACAATACATAAAACTTTTCAAGTTTAGAGCAATGTAAGACATAACACCGATATAAGTAATATCTATATAAATAAATCTAAAAAAAAGAAAAAAAATTTTAATCCTTAAAGCACACACTTCGAAAAAATTGAATAAACTCACTATTTTCTAAATTAAATTCTAAATTAACTTAAGGTAGCTCAGTACATCTATTTTAAAGAAAAATAGTTTTAATAGACATTTATTTAATGTTAATAATTAAAACAGAAAAGTTTGTAATCGAAACAAATATAAAAATTAGACTTTTCACTAAAAAATGTACAACTATCATAATTTCTTATATTTGTAATTAAAACTTTGTGCATATACTCTTAAAATATAACACATTTATGAGAAAAAATAGGTTAATATTTTTGACATTCAAGAAATATTCCGTGCTACTTGGGTGGTAGATCCAACATAAAGAAATTTTTTTTTATATTTCTAATATTAAATTTAAAAAAAAATGAATAAAAAATATGGTTAATACACACTAGCAACGTAGTCGGCCGCTTGCGGACGACCAAGTTGCTAGTTTAATTTTTAAACTTGAATGGCCAGAAAATTTAACTTCTTCTTGGTCTTCTTCTTCATCTTTCTTCTTGGTTCAAGAGAGGTCGCCATAGTTCGCCATAGTTTAGATTTATTTAATTTTCAAACTGAAATGGACAGGAAATTTAATTTCTTCTTGGCCCATAGTTAAAGAAAGAACGACATAGTTCGCCATAGTTTGCCCATAGTTTAGATTAATTTAATTTTTAAATTTTAATGGCTAGAAAATTTGTTTTGACTCTTCCCGCAGTTTAAGAGAGGTCGCTATAGTTCGCCAAAGTTTGCCTATAGTTTAGATTTATTTAATTTTAAAACTGAAATGGCCAGAAAATTTAATTTCTTCTTGGCCCATTGTTCAAGAGAGGTCGCTATAGTTCGCCATAGTTTGCACATAGATTATATTTATTTAATTTTAAAACTGAAATGGCCAGAAAATTTAACTTCTTCTTGGCCTATAGTTCAAGAGAGGTCGCCAAAGTTCGCCATAGTTTGCCCATAGTTTATATTTATTTAATTTTAAAACTGAAATGGCCAGAAAATTTAACTTCTTCTTGGCCCATAGTTCAAAAGAGGTCGCTATAGTTCGCCAAAGTTTGACCATAGTTTAGATTTATTTAATTTTTAAACTTTAATGGCTAGAAAATTTAACTTCTTCTTGGTCTTCTTCTTTAACTTTCTTCTTGGTTCAAGAGAGGTCGCCATAGTTCGCCATAGTTTAGATTTATTTAATTTTCAAACTGAAATGGACAGGAAATTTAATTTCTTCTTGGCCCATAGTTAAAGACAGAACGACATAGTTCGCCATAGTTTGATCATAGTTTAGATTAATTTAATTTTTAAATTTTAATGGCTAGAAAATTTGTTTTGACTCTTCCCGCAGTTTAAGAGAGGTCGCTATAGTTCGCCAAAGTATGCCCTGAGTTTAGATTTATTTAATTTCTAAACTTTAATGGCCAGAAAATTTAATTTCTTCTTGGTCTTCTTCTTCATCTTTCTTCTTTGTTCAAGAGAGGTCGCCATAGTTCGTTATAGTTTAGATTTATTTAATTTTAAAACTGAAATGGCCAGAAAATTTAACTTCTTCTTGGCCTATAGTTCAAGAGAGGTCGCCAAAGTTCGCCATAGTTTGCCCATAGTTTATATTTATTTAATTTTAAAACTGAAATGGCCAGAAAATTTAACTTCTTCTTGGCCCATAGTTCAAGAGAGGTCGCTATAGTTCGCCATAATTGGCCATAGTTTAGATTTATTTAAGGCTATGTCCAAGTTGTTTTTCCGAATGTAAGCAGACCCTTTGTTATTGTTTACATTTTCAAAAAACGTATAAAAAATGTAAAACGGTTAGGAAACTCCAAAAATCAATAAATAATTAAGGAAAATGATGGAAAAAAGGTATTTAGCAATAAAAATAATAATTTTTTTTACAAATAACATTAATTCCACAGCCCCACAAAAAAATTTTTCTTGTCCGGCGAAGTAGACTAGGCTACTCCTACTTATTTTGTGTCGCTGATTCCAAATTCGGGGACAGAATTTCAAAGTTGAATCGTTATTTCAAGATGAAGGATCCAAGATGGCGGAATTTTTAAAAATTGATCAGATTTGCTTGAAACTGGGTACTAGGGGGTTATTGGCGTCACTGATTACGAATCTGATGTTACTTTTGAAAAATTCAAAATGTCGGATCTAATATGGCAGTAATTTTTAAAAAATCATCGGATGTGCTTGAAATTGGTTGCTCGGGGGTTTTTGGGGTCGCTAATTATGAATATTTCGTTAGTTTTCAAAAATTCCAATCCATTTAGAATTTTTGAAAACTAACGACATATTCGTAATTAGCAACCCTCAAAAAACCCCAAGTAATAAATTTCAGGCTAACCTAATCAAATTTTTAAAATTCAACCATATTGGATCCGCCATCTTGAAATAACGAGGTAAATTTGAAAATTTTTTTGTGGGGCTTAGTTACCAATACCAACATTACCCAAGGTAGGGTTCTCATGTCGCCAGTAGGTGACGGCACGAATGCTATTTGCTACTGGTTTTGATGGCTCGAGCTTTGCAGTTGAATTTTCTTTTCCCGTGATGTGGGACTTTTGTTTCTTACGGAAGGGGAGCGACTTTTAACAATTTGTCGTATAATTTGTTAATTATAAAAATATGTGTCAATTATGCAACTGAAAGTTATTGTTTCAATTTTTGAAAGTATAAAGTTTAATTTTTTTTAGAGTACTCTCATCCTAACCTCATCTGTGAAAAGATTTAGATGGATTTTTGTTTACTTTTCTGATATTTAGATTTTTTGATATTTCTCAATCGACAGTGACACACTTTTCATAAAAATGTTGTACAAATATAATTTTTTTTAATTGACTCGGTGCAGTGTAAATCACACGCAAGAGTGTAAGAGATTTTAATGTTTTCTTAGGATCTGCGGAGTGCATTATGCAGAACAATGCAAGTAGAGGTAAAATTATTGATAAAACAATATGACTAAATCTTCTTTTTAACAATTGCAGAGAATAAAATTAAAAATATTTTTAGTGTAAAAAATATACAAAATTACAAACAAGTAGACTTAAATCACTAAAAGTTAGATATTTTTAATATTTATTCATAAATTTTATTTTATATATCAACAAAATGAGGGACAATCTATAAATATAATAATTTTTAGACTGTATATATAGACGGGAAAATCTTTGTATTTATAATTTCCAACTCATTAACTGGAGTAGTATTAATTTTTTATTATTAAATTTATAATTGCCTACCATTATTTCTTAGGTACTTAGGTTCTCAAAGGGCACTGCTTATATTTCTAAATAAATAAATAATTATTCTTATTATTGCTTTTTTTAACTGATTCGAAATCGATTTACATTCCGAGAATCGGATTTTTTAGGTTAGGACATTCTTTCTTTACGGAATGTAGTAAAAAACTACAAATTTTATAGTAATAATTTATACTATAAAGAAATAATGTACTGCTAATTAAAAAAATATATAATTTAAATAGTAATAATTTACACTATAAATGAATAGTGTATGGCATAATTAAAAAATATATAATTTGAATATTTTGCAATATTCTTCTGGAGGAACAGTGCGCGTTATTTATTTGTATTCGATATAAGAGGGATAAATGTGTTATTTTTCTATCTAAAAAGTATGTAGTATTCATATATTTTCGGTAAATATATTTTTACATGTTTATTGGAATGTACTAGGCAATTTTTTACTCTGTATTACATTTTAGTTTTGTGTTTTGGCACAAATGATTAAATTGTCATAAAATCCATCGTAAAAATTGGATTTTTCAGATAGATATAATTTATATTATCTATTAGCAAAAGTTTTATTCTTTTTGCTTTTAGAAGTAAGATGCAATAATACGGCCACTTGAGGATCTGTAAATTACGACCTTTCTACCACTATGTTATAATTTAACAACTACTGTTTTGTAGTTTATACTTTAGTTTTTACTAAAATAGTGTAGATAATTCAACCATATTAATGACTTAAAATTAAAATAAATGCTTGAAAGTATGGTTGAAACGTGCACGGTAAATACGTGACAGAATATTTACTATATAAAAAATTATTACCAAAAAATGTTCTGGTACTCTTGCCACGTATACACTGTTTTTATAAAATCCTATTTAGTTGTAAATATTATTTTTATGTGTT